CATACCTGTAATCCCAGTGCTGGGGACGGAACCAGGTAGTATGAAGTCCAGTGGGACCCCTTCTCAGGGGATAAGGCAGGGACCAAAAGAGAAAGATCCTCAGTATAACTTTTAAGTCCTCCCTTACCTCTTTAGTCATTTGAGGCAAAGTCTCATCCACTTCGCAAGTACTGGGAATCGAGCAATGTGCCACCAAACTGGAGAGCTAGCTATATCATTTCATCCAATTTTTACTAAACACTAGACATATTTACCTAGATAAAGAACAGGATCAGAAAAGCCCTGGCCTTTTGTGATAGGGTCTAACTATGTAGCTCTCTCAAGCCTGGACGGGACATACAAACCAGGTTGGACTCAGACTTATCTCCCTATCTGCCTGCCTCCTGGGTGCTGAGATCAAAGACATCCTCCACCAGACTCTGCCATCTTATCTTAAAAACTAAATTTAAAATCCAGGACATACGAAGACTATCTAGAGTCTTCATGTACCATGCAACCTTTCCAGGACGTGTGTGCTTATATGAAAACTTAATAGTGCTGCCTCAACCACCAGCTAAAGTGGAGAACTTGAAACCCTGGGCCAGAGCTCAGCCAGACAATGTCCCGCATACAAATAAGCAAGTTTGACTAGGAGCTTCAACCCTTTGCAATTCAAAGACAAAACACACTTGGTAGAACCTACTAGCACTTGCACCATCGCTATAAAACTGGGGAAAGCATTTTCCTGCTCCGAGTTTAATGTGAAGGCTTAACTCCTTGTCCAGAAATAATACATAAACCATGTGGGGGGGAGGACATGCATGCATTTATTTTTAAGAATTCCCAATAAGGGGGAAAATTCAACATCTTTAAAAATGTGTTTATTTTTTAAAAATTCAGTTGTATACAAAAGTGTTTCGTAGTTTTTAATTCTCAAGACAAACACCCAACCCTCCACCCGCAGCCCACCCTGCTTCAATGGTATTTCTGGTAACCAGCCCATTTTCCCCTTACAGGAAGTTAATGGCTCAGAATAGACCCTCCTACAGGATTTACCATCACTAACAAACTGTTTAGAGATCTAAAGAAGCTAACAAGCAAGGGTCTTTCCCAGTGAGGTTAATGAAAATCCTATAATGGCAGTAACTTCCAGCGGACACCACAACAAAGCACCATCAATTGCTGAAAGCTAAAAAATAGATATTTTCAATAATATTTCATTTTCTATTGGAAAAGTCTTTTAAATTACATTAAATAAGTCTCTTTTCCCCCAAAGAAATTGTCTAGCTTTTATTATGATGCCTGTAAAAAGTAGGTGACAGGAAGCAGATATGATAAGAACAGCACACACAGTGCAAGGACTGGATCCACTTTTCTCAGAACCAAACAAACCTATGCCACACCTCATCCCAGACAGCAGCGTGGTGGGGAGAACCAAGCCAAAGGTGAGACAGTCATGGCACCTGCTGGTGACACGTGCAGGCTTCTGGGGTCCTAGCAATGTAAGGAAGCAGTAAGGACGACTGGAGCAAGGGAGAGCCCAGCACTCTCCCCGACCTTATGCAGTGGAGCTGTACGTGCATGGCACCAGTGCAGACAGAGTCTATCACCACCTGTGCAGACACTGCAGGCCATGCTTGGGAAAAGGCTCTGCAACAGTGAGGACTGGTACTTGCCTCCTCAGTGACACCAACAGGCTGATGGGTATGCATTTACTGCAACAGGGACTGAAAGGTGGAAATGCGACTTTTAAACATCAACTCCTTGAAGCTAGAAAAAGTGATTAATACAGAATCATTATGTCCAAATCCAATGAAATAAAGTTAACTGTAAACAGACACCTTCCTTTTCCTTCTTCCTATCTAGACGCTGGTTCCCTCTATGTACACAATATACCTGACTCCACTCCTCTGCCCAGATTCATCTTAATTCCTTATACCACCAAGGATTCACTTCTGGTCTTGCTACACTGGATTTGGAAAACACCCTTCTTCTCCTGCAGGTGTACAAGCTCCTACCAGGAGCTTACAATCGAGCTTTGCTTTTCCCACTGGTAAATTTGCCTAGTAGCCTGACCAGTAACATAACATGCTGCATTCCCAGTGCCTAATGAGCAACCCTGCTGCCGTCCCTTCCTGCAGACAAAGATTTTTGCATAGTGTTAAATGCCACCAACAATCAGGAATATAAAAAATTTCAATAAAAAGTGTTTTAATCTCATTTCATAGGTTACACTTCTCAAAAGGAAAATACTCAAGATTCCAAACATTAACATATTTTTGAAGGTGTTACGTGTTTAAGTAAACCAAGAAACATTTGAGAGCACAAACTTGGGGCAGCTGGCTAGTACCAGTGTGCCATAAGTATCTACATCCTGTGCTTGGAGTCACACCTTCCTGTGATCTATCCCAACAGGCTCACAACTAAGTTTTCTACTAAACGTCAGGCCCAGGCTCAAGAAAAACACTGGGCTATGTAAAAGCCCATTAGAGGGTCAGTGACTTGTAGTAAATCTGCATGCTCTAAATGAGGTCTCACTAAAATCGCTGGGGGGGGGGGGGGGGGGGGGAGGTGCCCGACTGTGGAGTCCTGGCTGGTGTGGAACTTACTATGGCCTCGAACTCAAAAAAACGTTGCCTCTGCCTCTCAAAAAGCCCGGGACTAAAAGCATGGGCCACCACACCCAGACCAAAAACATTTTAGGACATTTTAAACTGACAAATTCTCAAACCAGAATTTAAAAATAATTTCCATCAGGGTACTAAGCCTGAATTTTTAATACTTTCCTAAACATATTTAATACCAGAATAAAAAGCCTAAGTTTCTTTTTTTGTTTGTTTTTGATAAACTAAACCTACCAGTTGGGAAGTTCAAAACAATACAAGAGAACAGAGAGGAAATATGCCAGAAAAGGCTATTATCAGTGAAATGAAAATGAGGAATCTCAAGCAGACTTGCTTATGTAACCCAGAGAGCCTTGAACTCATGGTCCTAGCACCCAAGAGCTGGGATCACAAGAGAATCTGCCACCACACCCAGCTGAAAATCCATTTCTATAAAGGCAACATCATGTAAAATCTGTGAAAGCCAATGTTCTACCTTCTCCAATCTCCTGGGTGCTGGGGACCCTTCAGTGTATTTAGTACACCCAGGATCGGCCCAGTCTGAGGCCAATATGCAAAAATAAAAATAAAAAAAATCCAACCAGGACATAGCTGCCTCCATGAGCAAAGTAGGTAATGCTTGACTCTCCCCATCTGAGTTAGTTCTCGTCTGTGTCTGACCAGACAGTATACCCTGACAATACAGGCAAAGAGTCAACTCCAACAATGTTTCCTTCTTTTAAATATCCAAATATTAGTGTTATCAAGCCACCTCCAGTTACAAAAAAAAAAAAAAAAAAAACACTTTCTAATCAATAATGGAGCTAAACTGTCCATAATGTCACACAATTCCATCTAATCTCAGAATATAAAGAAAAGTACAGTTTTAGCTATTTAAAATAAATAAAGAAAAACTTGTTTCCTTTGGCATCTTTAGAAAATAAACTACAGCAATAAAAGGATGTGGCTGCAACAGGAAATGTGTGCATCCGCAAACATGGAGAACATAGCAGCTTGAGTTTATAGTGTGCAGGACCAGCAACACGAAGCCACTGGTAACTGTGAAAGCCTTACAAGTTGCTGGAAGAACCTTCACATCTTTAATGTTATAGTATAGTTCATGGTTCTTTTATTGCTTGTAGTATCAAGATTATTGAAAAGTCAAATGAAGTTATGCTGAGTTAATAGGTTCAAAAAGTATTTTCCAAACACTTAATGACTATAAGATGAAGAACACTTCAAGAAAACAAACCTTTTAGAATATGACTTTCAATAGAGAGCCTTACTTTAATTCAGACTGATTCCATTACATTTCTGTTATTTATGCATTGGTCCTCAAAATTTAAAATTGTATCTCCTATGTAACAACTGCCTACATAAATTCATTTGAACCTTATTAAGATGGTTAAAGTAAGTGTTTGAGTTTGTAAAACGAACATTTTCAAACTTTGAACTTAGAATGAGATGTGACGTCATTAAGAACAGGAAGTCTATGTACAGGAGAAGGGAAGGTTTCAGTTCTCACATTCTCAGAAACATCATAACGAAAGCTAGAGTTATAACGCACGCCTATTCCTAAGTGCATCTGAGTATGTACAGTGAGACACGAACAGCTTTCTTTCATGTGTGGACATGGGGAGTGCAAGCAGAGTCACCTCACGTGTCTGATGAAGCAAACTATAAAGTCCCAGTTACACCGGACACCAATGGAAACAGTTGGCTGCATCCTTCAAGTTTCCAAAGATTTCAACAGTTTAAAAATGTCAAATTCACTGAAAAACTAAGTAGGGTCCTTTTATTAAACCTGGGAATACTGCAACATCAAGTATTACTTCTTTTATAAGAGAAATAAAATTGGCAGCCCCATTTTTACATTATTACTTACACAGTGAAGAACTCAGACAAAACATTTCAAATCTATGACCTAAAAACGGAACAAGGACACTTCCTCAGCACGGTTCCCACCAAACACAGAGAAACTGACCATGAAAATCTTAGCTCTGGATGGTAACAGGGAAAAAAATAAGAGCGTCCTTACCCGTCCACAGGGACCGAAAGGCTCTAATTAGGTCATCTCTAAATCTGGATAAATCGCATGATTCAAGAATTTCCTAATGCTTAAAAGGGTGGTCTTTTCAGCTACCCGTCCTAAGAACTCAAGTACAAGCATGCAAGTAAAGTCACAGGCACAGAGGATCCGGGTTCAAACGCTTAAGGGAGCTGTGCTGCAACACGACAATGTGAGCGGCGGTGGCGACACTCACTCGAGGGTCACCCTAGTTATTCAACAGAACCCTGAAGCAAAGTCGCTAGTCTGTTACACTGCTAAACACTAACGGAGCATGGTTTTCCATGGTTTTAGCTTAGCTCAATGAATTTTTACACTATTAAGAAAAAAATTAAAGTATTTCCCCTTTGTAAATTTACACAGACGTTTAATTAGCTTTATTTACAGAGCAGGGAATTTTTTTTTTTTTTTTGCAGTCTCCAATGGTGCCTAGATAACATCATTAGGCAAGAATGCCAGTTTAAAAGAAATTTATGCAGAATCCTAAAAATAACAGATGTTGGTGCTCCTCATGAGGTGGGCGTGGCTGGCAGCAGCTTCCGTGCCTCAGTTACTCAGAAGCAGTTCTGTTGCAGTCTCTACATCCCATGATTTTGAAGACAAGGCCACTATTACTGCATTCTGTAAAGAAGAGGACAACAGCATCACATCTCACGGAAGCACTTGCTAAGCTCCGGAAACACTACGGTTTTGCACGGAGAAAAAATCATGCATTCTTTCCTCTACCAATGACTGGAGTCAACAAACAGAATCAGTACTGATTTCAATACCAAACACTACTAACCCAAACTACACTTCCTTTGCATCGCTAGCCCGCCTGTCCCAAGGCTAGGAGCAGTTAGAACGAGCAAGTCAAAGCAGTCCCTCCTGTACTTACCCTATCAAAGCCCATAGCACACAGGTTTTCTATTTTTTTGGTGTATTCTGGACTAGAAACTGGTGCTCCAGCATACACATGTGCCCAAAGTCGAGCTGTCTGCTTGAACATTTCAGGATTTTGTTTGTACTACACGGAAGGGAAAAAAACGATTAACATGACAATACAGTTGATCGGTAACCGCAGCTCAACTAAGACTCTAGTTAAGACGGGACGGGGGCTGTGGAGCAGTGAATGGCAGCGAGAGCCGGGTCACCAGTTCAGTCCCCAGCACCCCATGTGACCAAACCCAAACGGCCTCATTTCCCACCGCGGATGTGTCATTCAAAACATGAAGCTTTGTGAAAAGAAAGGACAGAGTTAGTACACGTCACAAACATCTAATATTAAATGAACTATTATTGAGATGTTCTAATCACTGTATACAAATTAGACAACTAAATAAAATCAGCAGCATGTGAAATTACATGAATGTTGGCTGATAAATATAACCAACTATGCTACTAGGCAGAGCTCAAGCTGAGACACCCCTCTTCAAGCTGTTCTGTGTAGTAAAAAGAACACAACACTCAAAAACCCTAACTTGTATCATGCTTTAAGAAAATTTAAAACTCAGAGTCCTTTAGATAGTAAGATTTGCCACATGAATTTGAAAGAGATGTGTGGTAGTCTTATTATTATTATTATTATTATTATTATTATTATTATTATTATTATGTATACAGTGTTCTGCCTGCATGTATCCCTGCAGGCCAGAAGAGGGCACCGGATCGAACTACACATGGCTTTGAGCGACCTGGAGGTTGCTGGGTATTGAACTCAGGACATCTGAAAGAGCAACACATGTGGGAAAGAAACTAGATCTGGACGGCAGCACACGGGTGCTCACTGTGCAATGCTCCATACATTAGGAAACAGCCTCTACCACGTACCCAATGAAACCATTTCCAAATTTAGTCCCGATACAGACTGTTCATATGCTGACATCAAATATTAAAAACGACATACACACGTCTAAGGAAGTCTTTCAAAGTGGCCTGCTTACCTGATTCGCTACTACTGCATCTTGGGGGTCATCTGGTTCCGCAGCTGCCAACAGTGCTTGCAATGACAATAATACCGTGCGCAGAGTCATTGCTGCTGCCCTACATTTCAAAACAGGAGACATCCCTCTTAAAAGGGGCTCTGAAGGACATAACCAAAGCGTATGCTTTCTGAACTGACACAAGAGTTTACAAATGCATGTTTGCCAATATGTGATCCTTACAATGAGTCTATTTCTAAGACAATGCACATCATCGGATCCGGATCCAACCTTGCTTTTTCTCCTCGAAACTTTTACCTATCTTGTAAGCTTTTCATTTTTAATTCGTTTTCTCCTTAAAGAAAACATTTTAGAATTTATGTGTATGAGTGTTTTTCTCCATGTATGTTATGTGCACCACAGTGCCTGGTGCCAATGAAGGTCAGAAGAGGCTCTGGATCCCCTAGAACTAGAGTTACAGATGATCACAAGCAGCTGTAAGGATGCTTGGAAGCAGTCAAGCCCTCTGCAAGAACAAATGCTCTTAACCACGAAGCAACCTCTCCAGTTCCTTACCCACATTTCTTAATAAAGAGATAATTAAAGTTATCAATACTAATACAACCTGTGGAATTTTTTGCAAGAATTTTGTTTTTTGTTTTGTTTTTCAAGACAGGGTTTCTCTGTGTAACAGAGTAGACCAGGCTGACCTTGAACTCAGAGATCAGCGTGCCTCTGCCTCCCAAGTGCTGGGACTATAAAGGCGTGCACCACCACCGCCGGGATAATTTTATTGTTTTGAATTATAAGAATATTTATGTATGTGCACATGAGTAGAGGTGGTTACAGAAGCCAGAAGCAGCTGATCCCCTCCAGTTCAACTACAGACAGTTGTATACCACTCCACATAGGGACTGGGAATTCAACTTGGGTCCTTTGAAAAGCAGTACATGCCTTTGAGCACTGACCCATCACTCCAGCCATCTCTTTGAAGGGCAAATAAATTGGCTTTGAAAAGTTCTGCAATCAGTCCATAATATTCCAAACTAGGACAAATTTTTATTTAAACTATTACCACTTGGGTTTGGAGAGAGGCTCACAGGTACCCATGTGTACTGCTTTGGCAGAGGACCTGAGTTTAGGTCCCAGCACCCATACTGGACAGCTCACAATTGCCTGTAACTCTAGCTCCAGGAGACCTAATGCTTTCTGGCCTCCTGAGGCACCCACATAGACTACACATACACACACCAACACATATACATAGTTAGAAATAAAAATAAGTAATGCTTCTAAATATATTTACAACAAAAACCTTGTACTTTATAAAGCAATTATTTGTTTAAAATTTGCTTCTAATAATGAAATGTTAATGAATGTAAAAACTACAACGCTAATATGTATTGAAGAACCAACAGTCTAGTCTTCTGAGGCACCAGCCTGTCAGCCTAGGGCCTTGTGAAGGCAAGACACTCTACCACTAAGCTACAACTCGATTCCCGGGATGCTCAATTTTTAACCACACAAATGACCATTCTAAATCAGTCTTTTCTGGTTGAGCTCATAATTCCTAAAAGCCTCATCTACAGAGCAAGTACCAGGACAGCCAGGGCTACACAGTGAGACTCTGTCTCGAAACAAAGCTAACCAGTGATTATTTGCAGTATCCATGGATAATATATAAAACAAGACAATCCTAAATGTTTAGGCAAAAAAAGATAACTTTTAGAAACAGCATGTGTTAAAGCAGTCAGTTTCATTCAATGTCCTTCCCCTCCTGATGAGCAGCATCAGCAGGACTAGGGAACTTAGTTTGGGGACTGAGTCTAGCTACAGAAAAAAGAACTGGTCCCTCCTGTCTCGTCTTCCCAAGTGCTAAGACTTTCGGCACGTATTACGAATGCTCAGCTGATGCCTTGGGAACTTAAGAAATGAATATTCTCACCACACCCCTGCTCAATTAAAAGCTGGGAATATTTGAACAGATTGTCCGACAAAAATGACAGAAAATAGTATTTGAAAAATCTTGTTCTTTACAATTGAAGCTAACTGGCACCAGCAGCTCTCCACCAACGAAGCGAGTGCAAGATAGGTCTCTATTTCATATAGTAAAATGTTCACTACAGAGCCGGGCGGTGGTGGCACACACCGTTAAGTCTAGCACTCAGGAGGCAGAGGCAGGTGGATCTCAAGGCCAGCCTGGTTTACAGAGTGAGTTCCAGGATAGCCAGGCTGTTGTTATACTGAGAAACCCTGTCTCAAAGGAAGAAAGAAAAAAAAAGTTCACTATACATGGTTCTCTACAATGATCTCTGGGAAGTCAGGCACGGTAAGATAGATATAATCCTAGCACTTGGGAGAGGAAAGCAGGAGGTCCAATTCAGCCTAAGGGATAAAGCAAGACTGTCTAATTCAAGGGAGGAAGAAGAAGCAATCAGAATGAAAATTTCTAACTGATCAATTTCTATCTCTAATGAATCTAGAGCAATTAGAAAAACCTGACATGATGCTTCGAGGGAGCTGACCTTGCCAAGCACAGTCCTGAAAACCTTTACACCAGCATGTGGTAGATACAGAAAACCAAGACTATAAGGGAATCCTTAGCTACACAAAGCATTGTGGGCTACACCGAGACCTGTCTCAAAAATCAAAAACCATAGAGTAAATAAAACAATAAACAGGCTGCCATGCTGCCTTAGCATTGAAAACGCAATCATTCTTTTCAAAGCTTTTAAAGCACAGGTTGGTGGTGCAAGCCTTTCCTCTCAGGAGCACTGTAGGCAGCAGAAGCAGGCCAAGGGTTGAAGCCAGCCTGGTCTGCAGTTTCAGTCACCTCAGTCATCCAAGCTTTCTATCCCAGCTGACAAAGCAGACCTCGGGGTTCAATGTCCTAAGAGCTTCAAAGATAATTCTCACCCAAGAGTGGAAATATATTTTTAGCACATACAGAGGCTGATGTGATGGCTAAGGAGATAAAAACACTTGTGACACCAGCCTGAAGACCCAAGTTCATCCCCAGAACTCAGGTAAAGGGTCCAAGAGAGAACAGAATCCATAATGATGTCCTATGACCGTCACACAGACACCACACCCACACATACAATAAACAAGCTCTTAAAGAAATATAAGTTAGAACACATAACCGAACAAACGCCCTTAAATAGTCATACTTGTCTTTCCATTACCACACGAAGATGGAAATTCTTTCCTTAGGAGAGTATATCACTCTAATTTTAATTCTTTAGGAATTTTAGTTGCTGGAGAGATGGTTCAGTGATTAAGGGTCCTTGCTGCTCCTTCAGAAGACACAAGTACAGTTCCCAGACCCTATAGCAGCTTCCACGTGTCTGTAACTACAGGTATATGAGTTTCAACACTCTGTGGCCTCCACAGGCATCAGGCAGACATGTGATACACACATACACAAAACCAAAAGGCCAAAAACATACATTTTTTTTTTAATCTGAAAGAAAGACAGAGGGAGGGAGGGAGGGAGGGAG